CTCCCCAGATACAGGGACTGTGGAAAAGGGAATATATATGATTTTAGATACTGCATGAAAGATAAGTTCTGAAATCAGAGCAGCTGCAGTTTCACTTACTGCTGAGTCTGTCACCACGTGACTCTCAGTTTCCTCATAAGAAAAGTGAAGATTATCATAGCACTGCCATGAGGGTTCAGTATAGCAGCTCAGGAAAAGTGCTTTGGAAAATGCGTGGCGTAGGGCTCTACGCACAGATGTGGCCTCTAGAAATGACTGTTATTTCACATAGCAGTTACACTACTGCTCTTCAAAGGGAAAGAGCCAGGACAGACAATGCATCCTAAAGTTCTCCAAAGAGGGAGAATTAGCCTCTCTAGTCAAAGAGGGGGACCTGTGTTAAAATCTTAAAAAAAACTCCTAAGCCGTATTTCAAATACAAATTGAACATCCCTAATCCAAAAAGCTGAAGCACTCCAAAGTCTGAACCTTCTTGATCATTGATGTGATACCGCAAGTGGAAAATTCCACATCTGACCTCCTGTGGCAAGTTATAATCAAAATGTAGATGCACTACAAGTGTTGTGTAGAGCTGTCTTCAGGCTATGTGTATAAGGTATATGAGCCATAAATGAATGTCATGTTCAGACTTGGGTCCCATCCACAAATATCTTGTGTCGTATGAGGTGTGATTGGAAAAAGTGGTGAATATTTAAATTTTTAACAATTCATTACAGTAAAAAGATGCATTGCCTAAGCACCCTCAAAGTGGTCCCCTTCATTTCTAACATGTTTATCTACTCTGAAGTACTCTTGGAAGTCTCTTTTTGTGTTCCTAATTTCTCTGTCATGGCTGCTTCCACATCCTTAATTGATCCAAAGCATTTACCTTTGTGGTCATTTTGATTTGCGGGAAGAGTCAGAAGTTGCAGAATGCCAGGTCCAGTGAATTAGGTGGGTGAGGGCACACTGTAATGTTTTCCTGAGCTGGTCTTTCCAGTGGACATCACTTGGCAGCAGCATTCACCATAATTTTTTTTTTTTTTTTTTGTACCGGGAATCAAAGGACCTTGCACTTGCCAGGCAGGTGCTTGTACAACTGAGCTATATCCCTGGCCCATTGTCCATATTTTAAATCACACTTCCTGAAGACACTCCCAAAAGAGAACTTCCAGAACTGCTTCAGAAAGTGGCAAGAATAATGGGATAAGTGTGTTCAAAGAAAAGGGGAGTATTATGAGGTGGATTAATGGTAATTTTTTTACTGTAATAATTATTTTAAATTTAAACATTCACTGTATATTTTGATCACCCATTGCACAGTATATGAAAATATTCCAGAATCTGAAAAAACCTGAAATCCCAAATACTAGTGGTCCCAAGCATTTTGTTTTCTTTTGGTTTTGGTACCCGGAATTGAACTTAGGACCTTGTGCTCACCAGGCAGGTGCTGTGCCTCTGAGCTATATCCCCAGCCCAGCATTTCGGATAAGGGATACTCAACCTGTAGCTGTTCGATTTGCTTCGTAGCATGTTGCTTTAAAAAACAAAACAAGGGGCTGGGGATTTAGCTCAGCGGCAAAGCGCCTGCCTGGCAAGCGCAAGGTTGTGAGTTCGGTTCCCGGTACCGGAGAAAAACCAAAAAACCAAATAAATAAATAAATAAATAAATAAAAAACAAAACAAAACCAAAAAAACCCACCTCCCAGCTCTCATCTATGGACCCGATAGCTCAGGGCTCCTTTTGTGGAAGCCCAACTGAGCTGAGTAGCTGACATCCTTCCTCCCAAAATAGAGAGGGGAAAAGGGACAAGCTGTGAGATCTTGCTGATGCTGGGAATCAGTGAGGCTGTCCTCAGCATCTCATTCTCCATAAGCAGCTTAATTTTATCTCTCTCTACACCTCTGCATCTTGCCTTAGGAAGCTGAGCAGCCTGGGAGAAGGTGAGTGACCAAGAGACGGTGCCCTCTTCTGTGTTCCCTTGCTCCCTACTTCCTGAGCTCTGTACCTTGTGCTCTTTGCCTAGTAATTCTGCCACCCCGGGTGGTTTTGTAGCCTTGTAACATCCCATGCTGGAGCCCCAGAAACAACAGGAAACAGAAACACCTGCAAGGGAAGAGGCGGCCCAGATAGGACTGGGGGGTGCAGAGGGTTTCCGAGGTAGCATTCAGTTTGACAGCATTTTCAAGGGGAGTCAGCCTTGCCGTTTTTCTGTCCCCATGGCCCCCTTCCTTGTCCAGTATCCTTTGCCATCCTCCTTGTCCGCCTTGTCCCCAGAAAATGGGCAGTGCAGTGGGCTCATGAATCTGGGCCAAGTTCTCAAATCTAAATTCCTGTTCAGGCAAAGAAGGTAAACTAGACTAGTGAAGGATACACAGTATGGACTAGTGAGAAATGTGGCCCCAAAAAGCCTATGTTCTACCTAAAGGGGGCAGCCACTCCATAACTGCCTCCTGTGCACTCACTTCTGGGAAAAAAAATTTTTTTCTCAAGAGAAAACAGAAATCTGGGAGGTGTGTGTGTGTGTTATATATAATATCCCACTGTTTAAAACACAGAAAAGGGGGCTGGGGATTTAGCTCAGTGACACAGCGCCTGCCTGGCAAGCACAAGGTCGTGAGTTCAATTCCCGGTACCGGAAAAAAAACAGCAACCAAAAAAAAAAAAAAAACCACACAGAAAAGGCTGTGTTTTAGTAAGTAGAACTGAAATATGGTCCAAAGAATGGGTTGTCCTCAGGCCATCAGATAAGCTGAGCAGGTCTTTTTAATGAATAGTGCAACATTTTCCTGCAAGATGATGCACTCAGAGCGCTCTGAATATCAAGATTTAGGGAAAAGCATTTACTACTTGTTTTTAAAAACAAAACAAAAACGTTGTATGTTTGAAGAACCCATTCTTGACCTGTTTGCTTGGCCCTGTTGGGTCTTCTGACTTCTATCTCTGTCTCTGCTCTGCAACGTCCTCCTTCAAATGCCCCCAAAGTAGAATGACCTTGACTATAATTTAATACAGAGAGCACAAGAAACTCTTGGGGGAAATGCCGCAAAAGGGCTAGACAGATGGGTGGGGTAGATAAGGATTCATAAAGGAGAAACTGAACCCTCTAGAGACCCACATTATCATAACTACTTCCATCCTGCTCCCGGGAAACAGGCGTGACCTTGAACAAGCCCGTCAAATGCTCCCCTTCCGTTTCCTCACCTGTAACTAGTGAGGGTAGCACTGCCCATCTGCCCGGGTTATTGCAAAAATAATAGGATGTCAAGAAAGCACTTTGGAAGACAGAGAAAGTATTCTAGCAACGTGTGCGGTTTTCCAGTGTGAGGCGGGAGGACATCTGCGTGGGCCCCAGGGACCGTGCCCATTATTAGCCAGATTAAACAGGCAGTTCTTCTTCCGCTTGTCACTGACAACAGCTGCTGCTTGCACACAGGGGACCACCGGGAGGATTGAGCCCACAGCAAGGGAGAGGTGGCATGACGCTTTAGCACCCATTGCCCACCATTGCCAACTGCGGTGCTCCGGGGTTCTGCCGTCGAGAGACTCCTGAGGCAGGGCAGCCCATTGCAGATCTCATAAGTCAGTCTCCACCGGGGAAGTTCTGTGCCAGCCTTGAAAACCAATGTTTTCAGAAGTCAACATTTTTGCTCTTCAGTGTCCATCCCTCTCCCCCACAATTTCATTCCCAAAAAAATTAGAAAATGATTTTACTCTAGTTTCAAGAGCACCACTAGTCAGTCTAGGATCAGAGAGAAAATTCTTAGCGTCCACATTTGCTTGGCTGGACTGCTCCATTCTGGAAAACTTTCCTACGATCCTTATGGCATCTGCTGGACCAACACCAGCTAAACGGTAATGTCCTATGACACTTCTTAGAGGAGACAGGGAAGGGTCTGAAGGGCTTAAAAACACAGCAGAACCGGTCTGTATGGATTGGAAAGCTGATGGGGGGTCAGTGCCACCTTAGGGGAGGGAGCCCTCCTCCGTGTGGCATGTGGAATTGGGTATGTCGTAATAAAGAATCTGCACCAAGAATAAAGGGACAAATAGATAGATGTCATCCCTGCCATCGCAGAGCTGACATTCTTGTGCAGGAGGCAAATGGTAGAAAACAAATATCCTTCAATCACAAGTTGAAAAGAGTCTTAGGAAGGAAATAAATAGCAGCAATGACAGGCGGTACTGGGGGCTGGGGTGGGTGCTAGTGAGATGAGGTGATCACAAGGTGATCACAAGAGGCGTCTCTGCAGATGCAACATTTGCACAGAGGAGGAGAAGCTGACCTTGCTGAAAGAAGGCAAAGAGAGGGTTCAAAGGCCCTGACAGAGATGTGCAGAGTGTATCTGAGGAATGAAATGGCAGCTGGTAGAACAGAGGGTAGTGAGTGGGGGTGAAATGAGCACAGGGCACAGGGCAGAGGTCCAGTCCCACGAGGCTCTTCTCATCCTCTGTGCATGTGTGCATACACGCGTGTATGTGTGTGTGTGTGGGTGTGTGTAAGAGAGTGTATAACAGAGAATTCCTGTGTATGCATGCACGCCTAGACAAGGGCTACAATTTCTCTGAGAGGATGACCTATAACTTTCATCAGATTGCCAATGAGATCAGTGATCCAAAAGAGTTCTCTAAATCAAGATTGCTCTTAGTCAATCAACTAAAGCTTTGAAACAACTGCGCCAAGTGATTTCTTTTTTCTTTTTGGCTCCTGCACGCTCTGAATCTTAAAGCAGAAAGTGCAGCACACAGGCTGGCATGTCGGGTCCTCCTCAGTGCCTGCGGGCGCTCCAGAAGGCTCCAGGTGATAGGCGCGTGCGGCACAGTGTCCATGGTGACAAGCATTGTGAAGCGCAGAGGTGCTCAGAGTTCGGGTGGGCTCAGAAATGCAGCTTCTCTCCTTCCACGCTGCAGCAGGAGCTCAAGGCTGCAAGGCAAAGCGCTGGCAGCTCTGCAGCCACAGCCCTTGCGCGGCTGGTAATTACCAGGATGACGGACTCGCCCACCTCCCTTCTGCTTGCAGCCTCCTCAATGCCAACAAGATCAACTGCTTGCGGGTGAACACCTTCCAGGACCTACAGAACCTCAACTTGCTCTCCCTGTACGACAACAAGCTGCAGACCATCAGCAAGGGGCTCTTTGCCCCTCTGCAGTCCATCCAGACGCTGTGAGTATGCTGCCTGGGCAGCCAGAGACCCCAGGTGCCCAGCCACACAAACACCCAGGTGAAGGCAAACTGCACTCCTGCCAGAGGACAGAGTGCAGGAAGAAGGCACTGATAAAAATAGCATAGCATACCTATGCTGAGCTTTTAGGCGGGGCTCAACACCAAGTACTGGCCCTGTTTTAAAACTTTTAACCTTCATGACCCCAGGTCTGGTGCTGTTTTTATCTCCAGTTTATATGTGAGTTTATATGTGAGGAAATGCACAGAGAGACAAAGTAACTTATTAAAGGTCACCCAGCTAGTGAGAAGTGGGATTTGAATCCAGGCACAATCAGTACCACTCCCGTGTTCTGAGCAGGCTGCGTTTCTGCCAATAACCTATTCCTGGACGTTGACACATCTGCAAAACCAAGCCTCTGAGATAAGCACCCTGGGAACACTTCAGCTTTCTCTTTGGGAGGTATTTTCTCACTCCCACTATGGCAGATGTGTATAAGTACTGCAAAAAATAGACGACATCCAAGTAGAGATCTTAACCCATGTTTTTGATGGCTACCATCTCAAGTTTAGACCCAAACCTCAGACCAGGAGCCTGGAGTTTCCTGGATACCTTGTAAGTCACCGGTACTTTTGCCCCGATAGCCAGGGACAGGAAGCAGCACAGAGCAGGGGCAGCTGCTGCACAGGCATTGCAAACCCCGTGCCAAGCTCTGTGTTCAGTGCTCTGCAGAGTTTTTCTGACTGAGCCAGAGACACAAGGCCCACATCGCTCTCAGGATAAGGATAATAACAACAATACCCACTCCTATATATGGAACACCCACCATATGCCAGTTGCTGAGCCAGCTGCTTTATATGCCTGGTGTCACTGAGCTTAGAGAAGTAAAATGCATTTTACCCTAAGTGTAAACTCTAAAGCGCGTGACTTGTTTTGCCCGTCAGAACTGGTGCAGGTGAGAGTAGAGATATGATCATGGTAGGTCCTGCCCTGAGCAGGGAGAGCTGGGAGCCTGATTCCCTGGACCAGATGCTGGCTGCATCTGTGCCTGTCTTTGGCAGCCAGCCAGCTGTAGGCCCTCTCTTTGAGTCCTGTCTGAAAGGTGCACCTCCAGGCCTCTTGGGGCGATGAGGGAAGGAGCCCTACACCGGGTTGTCAGGGCCCAGCGCCAGGCAGGGTGGTGGTGGAGGAAAGAGGCACCTCGGGTCACTCCTAATTAACAGCCTGTCCCTCTTGCAGCCACTTAGCCCAAAACCCGTTTGTGTGCGATTGCCACTTGAAGTGGCTGGCTGACTACCTCCAGGACAACCCCATCGAGACAAGCGGGGCCCGCTGCAGCAGCCCACGCAGGCTTGCCAACAAGCGCATCAGCCAGATCAAGAGCAAGAAGTTCCGCTGCTCAGGTAATCAGGTTACAGGGGCTGGGCCCCACTTTCTGACTCAGAAAACAGCAGCCCGAGAGGCCAGTAATCCAATCTGGAGGACAGTGAGCGCCGTAATGGCTCCTGGGGAGCATCTTTGCAAATTAAATTGGGGAAATTCAGTTAGCCCTGCAGAAAAACCAATTACCTTATGGATTTAAAATAACACACACACACACACACACACACACACACACACACACACATACACACACATGCACACACCTCTCTCTCTCTCCTCTCTTTCTCTCTCAAAGCATGGGGGATGGGAAGACAAAACCCAGGTAGCAGTTTACCCTGGGTGCTAGGCAGAAATTAGGAGACCAGACAGTCTTTGTACCTATGCCCTTGAAAGGAGGCAAAGATTTATTTTTTTGTTTCCAAAGCATGTTCCCTAAATGGCAGCTAGAGAAATAAATGAAGCTCAGGCCAAGCTACAGGCGCTGTAGTAATCTGAGTCCCCTCAAAGACAGACTTGGATATAGCCCTGGGACCACAATGTGTTGTAGGTTTCACAGCCAGCGTCACTGTCTCCTCCGGCCAGATGGCTGCACTCTGATGATAGAGAGGACAGCTGAGAATCTGGAAAGAAGCAAAGCCTTGTTCTCCTGTGACCAGGCTGTCTCTAGAAACCGTCTTCCCCACTGCATCCAGGAAAGACATGGGGATAAATGGCAGGGAAATTCTCAGCCCATCTCATGAGGAGAGGGAGCTCTTCCTGACTGATAGCTAGATGAGCAGGCAGTTACAAATTACTATCATTGGTGTTGCTTTCTACTGGAAAAAAATCACCAAGCTGCATTGTGCTCCCAATGGTAAGAGATTAATAGCATAAGGTGCTAAGATGGGCCAGACCCAACCCTCACAATCTGGATCTCAGCAGGAGCAGAGCGTCTTGCCCTGCCCGAGAGCGTGTTCTGTGAGTGAGCTTTCCTGGGGGCATGGCAGCATGGGCACTGATCTTCCAGACGGGACCAGTAGGCAGATTTCAGCCTTTTGCACAACATTCTTAGGTCAGATTCTTTCGTCAGTGTCTCCAGGATGATGATCTTTAGCTATTTTATTTCATTTTATTTTATATTACTTTAGCAGAAACAAATACCTCAAGATGGCTTAGCCCACAGGGAGTTTGTGGCACTCTGAGGGATCGGTACCACTTTGCCTTCCCCAGAGTAGTGGTGTTGACTATTGCAGTGATCTCTCACCTATGAGGAGCACCGTGCTGAATGCTTCTAGTTTGCCTTGCCCTTCCCATCACCCTTCAAGGTCAGCAGGAGAGATCTCTGTTCCTCAGCAGAGGGAGCCTAGGGCTCAGAAGTGAAAGTGCACCCCAAGGTCACAGTCATCAAATGCTGGGGCAGGACCAGAAAACCCAGATCTACTCGCTCCTCAGCACCCTAACACTCAGGTACCTCACAACCCCTTGGAAAAAAGGCATATTTGGAAAGGAGCATTTAGGAAGGGCGCCCAGCTGCTTGACTGGTTTCCTGCCCAGTCTCATGCCCACCTCCATCTCCTGGACGTTTTTCTTAGCTTCCTTTCTGGGACCAGCAGCATCTCTGGGAAGAAAATCTCTGAGCACAAGCTGTCACTGGAGGAACACCGGTCCCTTCTCAGGCTCTTTTCTCGTGATCAGCAGCAGCCTTATTCCTTCTGCCCAGGGCTGAGTTCATGAGCTTGGCCAGTTAGTAAAATCCAAGAGGGCAATAAGAGTCAGGCAAAGACAGGACACCACCTACCAACCTTGACCATGGTGCTCGCGAGTGTCCTGCCTGTATCTTACCTCTCAGACTGGTGTCAAGGCCCTGGATGGCAGGGCAGGGCAGCAGTCAGCACAGGGTCTGAGGACTGGCATTTCTGCAGAACGCAAGCTTGGCAGTGGCCTAGGAGTAACTGTGGGCTTGGTTTTGCAGCAGCAAGGTAGGAGTGGTAGATGCACAAGTACCTAAATTAGAAAGTAGAAAAATAAAGCATAATTTTAACTCGAGCTCTGCCACTACCTACCTATCTACCGTCTACCTATCCACCTTTGCACCTGCAGGGTCCTGGCTTCTTTTCCTATGTGGCATAGAAATGGTTACACATAAAAAAGCAACAAATAGGGAGGAAGGAAAGATTCTTGAATTGACCTTGTCTAAAACATCATTTTTTAAAAAACAATGCCAAGCAGAAAGCTTATTCCTACACAGGCAGAGGCGTTTAGAGCTGTAATGAGTCTGACATATGGCATTCTATATGCTTTTATGTCATGGAGCTGCAGGGAGGAGGTCGAGAGAGCTACTGCTGAGCTCCAGGGGCGCTGGCTTTGAGAAACACCAGGACCCAGACCTGCCTTGGCCTTGAGGGGATAGGAAACTAGAGGCTTAAACCTCTGGCTTTCCAGGAAGCTCCCAAAGAAAGAAGCGGGGAGGTGATACGTACTAGAGTTGACAGATAATAACTCCGCATTTTATTTGCCCCTAAAAGCACCCCCTTGAAAAGACAGCTGATGTAATTAGGAGCCAGTCTGAGGGCTGGTCCTGTGATACATAGAGCCCCCCCACCCTTAGGCAGGGCGTCTGGTTTCCCAGCTGCTTTGCTCTGCCCCCCTCTATGAGCTGTATCCACACTCTAGGCAGTGAGATCAGTTTAAGGGTGGATGTTGCCATCTGGATAATCTGACCATAAGATTAAGTTCTACTGCACAGACCCCATCTGGCTCCCTGGAACCTCAGGCCCATCCCTAGAGAACACCTGGTAGTTGAAAGATCCTATCCGTCTTCCACCACACACCCCTGCTTTATGTGAGAAGAAACTCTCATGATGAAAATACGGGCCTGGGAGTGTGGCTTAGTAGTAGTGTGCTTGCCTGCCACACACAAAGTCCTAGGTTCGTTTCCCAGCACTACAGAAAAAGAAAAACTAGAAAGAAAAGCTCAGAAGGAGGGGCTGTGTGTCCAAAGGTAGCCAAAGGCAAGATATCATAGAGACCTCAGAGACCATCCAGTCCATTCTAGAGATAAAGCAACTGAGGTCCACACAACAGAAAAGTCCTATGTAAGATACAGGTTATTATTTTCAGGGCAAAGTCTGAAACCTAGGACTTCTGACATACTGTGAAGTTTCTTGATAGTTTATTTCCAGGCCTCTCTGGGTCCTTTTGGAGAAGGAAACCAAAGACAAGGAAAAGGAGATTTTAAAACTTCAGAGGGATGAAATGGTTGGATTTACCCTGCTCAGGCAGCTGAGGCTCTGATAAAACTCCAAGATGAATCTCAGAACCAGAGTGTACCCAGCCCCCTGCAAGTCTGGGTGTTAAAGTAGAGTCCAGATTACAGTTTCTGGCACTAGTCTATAAGATGGACAGGCTTACGAAGGTAGAGGGACCAGTCCTGACCATGGGTGGGCCCATCACTGCAGACCACTTGCATACTATCAAGATCCTGACAACATCTTATTGAATAACCCAGTCCCCAAAAAACACTGTAGTGACCCTGTCCTTCCTACCAGAGGTCCTGTGCAAAGGTCTAAATCCCCTGGCCCTGGCTCTGCTGACTTCAAGTTTTACACCTTTGCCAAGTAGAAGGAAGACCCAAGTTAGCAGATGCATGAAAGTGTCCCCTGATCTGTCACAGATAGGGATATAAAGACTGACTATCCTCACCTGGGTCCTTGGTGTCTAGGACCACTGGTAGTCGGTCACCCTGCCCATCCCCATGATTCCCAGCCAGGGATATCAGAAAGGACCCTCGGAGTATGTGTCTTCCCCTAATCAGTTGACATACCCCTTTTTCTTATTTAGTCTACAAGAGGCCCTTCATCAGGGGTCACTGGCCACACACTAGCCACCGCCTCTGTGACAGTCAGTGTTCTCAGATCATAATGACTATAGAGTTCTCAGCACCAAACCAAAGCCCTCATCAGCTCCTCTCCCTTTCCCTGTGACCAGAAACCTTTTTTAAAAGTGTCACCCACCTTCTCTACTAAACCTGAAATGGTTTGGAATGAATGTCCGTCAGCCAGAGGGTTTCTAGGACCCCCAAAGGACACTGAGGAGACTCCTGAGCTATGGAATGTCAAATGTGGGGGTTCTCTCCTGAAGAAGAACATTGTGTCTTCACTACCCCACTGGGAATTGTGGTCTCTTTTTTAAGAGGATAGAGGAATGGCCTGTGACAGAACCACTCTGCAGTTGCAAATGGCCCTAAAAAGCATGCAGAAGTTGCATTGCTAAGTTTGATGTCTTACTAGATCAAATGGTGTGGTCGAATGGAGTTCAGCGCTCAGTTCAGGCCTAGGATGTAACACAGACATCTGCGTATTCTTTACTTCCCGTGGGAAGGATGCATTCTGCCCTGATGCTCCTGCGTATGGGAGTCTGATGGTTTCCCACCTGTTACTCTCCTTCCTCTTTTGTCTCCCCTGGGGCGGGGAACAAGGGCGGTGGGGCTGTCTTTGGAAGCATTCCAGTGGAACTGCACTCCGGGTACTAATCACGCTCAGTGGGGGCCTGCTACGGCTTCCGCTTCTCCACGCTGCTTCCTCTGAGTGCTCCTGTCCTCTCTCTGACGCTGCTTCCTGACCTTGACTCTGACCAGTTGCCGCGGGGCTTTCCTTTGTGCTTGATCTAACCATGTGGTGGAACGATGGAAACGGAACATGGTTCTGTCAAGCACCGCGGAAAGCACCGCGCTCTCCTGCAGCATGGCCCGCCACAGCCGCCGCCACCGCTGGACACTTCTCTGCTCTGGAGCACCGCAGCCCACCACCTGCCAGACCCACCTCTCCCCATGTCAACTTACAAAGGGCAGGAGGGTGGGAGTTTCGAGGGCTTCAGGCAGAGTGAAATGGGGATGGTGAAGCACACTGGGGCCAAGCTACTATCTGTCTATATCACCCTCCCAAAAGATGCCTCGGTCCCTCAAATCTAGTCAGGGTGTGGACCCAGGAGGAATAATTAGGTTCAAATCTTCCATTTGAAGAGAACAAGTATCCCCAAGGCA